CATGACCATGTGTCACAGCAGGGAAAATGGCCACGGGTCATGTTTGTCACCCGATGCAGAGTTCGCGAACGGAAGCAAAATTTTGCGAACGGTGCCGTTCGTGAACCGAATTGTTCGTGAACAGAAGTGTTCATGAACCGAGGTATTACTGTATTCTCATAATTCCCCCTTGATGGGAGAGAGGCCATCTGTGTGCTCAATTATGGAATTGAGCAAAATTTTAGGATAAATCCATGCATACAGATGCAGATCCAGACAACTACAGTTTAAATACCACAGAGGCTAGTAACCAGTGTTAGACAATTTGAAGATAATGTCAGTTAGGCTAACTCTAGGTAGAAGAATATTAAGTAAGGTAAAAGTAAGTGCATGACAGTTAGGGGGAACTTTGAAACCTAAAGGTTAGTAGTAAAAACTGTTATTTCTGGTTATAGCCTGAGATGGAAACCATGATGCAATTGTATTTTCATATTCTTTGGCACAAAAAGTTCTTTTCTGTTAGGGGTCTTTCACTTAGCCTGTTTGCTGGTGAGGCACCACATTTGATCAAATGTTTATGCTTTGCAATTGCTGAATAAACCCTGGTTGTTTTCTACCATTGTCTGGTTAATTGGGACAGCTGTTGGGCAATGAACAAATGTTTGGAAATTAATGATTATCATCCTGTGAGACCAACATAAGAGGATGGTCTTCCTAAAATGTCTTCTTTTTAACTACTGTATGCAAGTATGCATGTTTGTGTGTGTGCATACATACTATATGGCTACCCAACTGAACATTGTGACTCTGGACAGTGCACAATAAAGCAAAAAGAGAACAAGATAAACAATTCCAATTAAAATCCAACTAGACATTAATAGGTAGCCAGGAACTCATATTCATAACTCCTTCTGGATGGGGACTACAACTGTCTGATCCTAACACCTGCAGAAAAAAGCCAGGTTTTTACTGCCTTTCTGAAGGCCAACAGTATTGGGGAGAACCTTACATTGGGTGGTTGGGTGGGATTGTTCCAGAGGGCAGGGACCATAATAGAAAGACATGCCTCCTGGGTCCCATTAGTTGACATTATTTCAGAAAAGGGACCCGAAGTATGCATTACTAAACATTTAGGATGCCTTTGGGTTAGCAGTCTGATATATCCTCAGAAAGACTTCCCCCCCCCGCTCTCTCTCCTTAATGAAAACAATAAAATAATCATTATATCAATATGCAAGTCTTAAAAACTCCCACCCAACAGAGTAAATAAGCCCAAATTCATTGAACTCCCTGCAAAGTAACATAGTCTGATCAGGTGTAATTTAAAGAAACAAGGAAACAAGCAAAATAGAATATGAAATACATCCTTGGGAAATAGTTTCCTTTATTCCAAGGGGTGAAGTTTTTATTCTGGGTTGTTTCCAGCACAATATGAAAACGTACTCATTGTTGTACATTTTCTACTTCCTGCTTCCAGGGACCCTAAAGATATCTAGTTGGGCACTGCAAGAAACAAATTCCTGGTCTAAGATGGGCCTTGACCTGATTCAGCCACTGTTCGTATGCTCAGGGGATGAGCATCTTATGAGATTGCTGGTAAAATAAATTCACAGAGGACTGCAGCCTGAGCCAATCACCTAGATTCTTCAAAACTATTTGGAAAATGGAGTTGTTTCAACGGCTTTCCTTTTCATGGGCAATCTGGTTCTTTCAGCTCATCGCTGAATTAGAAAAACAAGAATTTACATTCTGCATCTAAATCCCAAGGAACAATGAATAACTTCCCCAAATAAGGTATTCCTTCAAGGGACCCTAAAAAACAATAACAGTATAATTCCAACTATACATCCAATAGAAACAGGTGTAACTTCAAACTTAAAGACTTTTGAGTATGTTTGGGTATTTTACAAGTTGGGTATTATAATTTTAACAATTACAGATATTTCTTCAATACCATCAGTGATTGCACAATCATAGAAAAATGGGAACATTAGACTATGAAATTATAAATAGAAAGTTATAGTGCTCTGATTTTGCAAAAACCAAATCTACAGCAATGGATGTAAGCAAGAACAGTATAATTATTTCAGTTACCACACACAAAATACCGATGGGAATTAAAGACTGCTAGAGATTCAGTTTTCTGCACACTATAATGTATCCCACACACTGAATTTATTAACTGGTCTTGGCACAGATCTTTTAATCACTTGAATTAAATCTCTCAAGTGGTTTACAGATAGTAAACATTGCTTTTAATATCATGACACATCAGAGTGAAGTTTTACAATGATAAATATACTTTGTTCCAGCAGCAGCTTAAAATAACATACAGTATAAGGAAAAGTATCCAGTAGTAACACAATAACAAACAAAATCACCCATTAATATAAATTAAAAGGGGGGGGGAGGAATGATAAATATACTTTGTTCCAGCAGCAGCTTAAAATAACATACAGTATAAGGAAAAGTATCCAGTAGTAACACAATAACAAACAAAATCACCCATTAATATAAATTAAAAGGGGGGGGGAGGATGGGAATTAAGTACAATAACTGAAAAAAAATGATACATTATAAATTTTACAGTGGGGAGATTCCAGTTACATCCAGTGGCTTCTGACAGCAATAGCTCTAGCATAGTTATCTCTTTCCTGGAGACTTCACTTAGTGTAAGAACACTTGGAAGTTTTGGTTTTAGTTCAGGGGTAGAACTTTCCTATGCTTTGGTCTCTTCAGCGGAGCTGGGAAGCACCCTTCTGGGGACTTCATAAAGCCTCCTCCAATGAGGACAGTCAGTAGCAGGCTGGATGGTCCAACTGGTCAAGGGTTCTCTCTCTAACAGCCAATCAGATGCTAACGTGATGTCCAGAATCAGGACATGAAGAGGGGAACACCCTCTTCTCTTAGCAATTGATCTTGAGAAGACTGCTTCCTCTAATATATCAAAGTGATGATTGTAGGTCAGTGGGGCTGAACAAGGTCCAGATCAGGACCTCAGTGCCTAGGTGGGCCCTGAAGAAAACCAAAAATGGAGTAGACACTGCACCAGCTAGCTGGAAACTGCATTGGTTTTCACTGTTTTAAAGATACATGTCTTTTCATAGTGAGTTCAATGATGATTGGAAAACAGGCCGTGTTTCTTAAATCAAGCAGGACTGGCACATTATTTTTGTTCTCCCTGTTGGCAGGTAAGTGGTGAGGAGATACATTTTGGTGGGGAGAGTGGAAAGGCTATTGTGGGAGGGAAGAGCAACAACATACAATATGGTATTAGGAGGAGGAAGAGAAGTAGTAGTAATAGTAATCACAGTGGGGAGGGGAAGAGACAGTTTAGTAGTGGCAGGAGGCCTTTGAAGCTTTTGGATAGATTGCCTCAAGCTACCTCTGGATCTGGTAGTACGCAATTCCTATTATGATTCCCAGCCGAAGTCTGAAGAATGGTCAGCATTGTCTTCATTCCCAGTATTTCTTGTGATAAGCCACATGACTTACATCACTCTGATATTGATTTAAAACTAATTAGAACTTTAATGCAGATGTGCCTCCAGTTTGGAGAATGTATAGATTTCTATATAGAGTTGCACCAGCAGCATTTTGTGTAAAATGATTTCACCTGGGACACAGGTGGGCTGAAGGAGGAATGTCTAGGTATCTCAGAAGAAGGCCAGTGTCACAGAGATCAGAAAAAGCATGACAACAGGGGTATTGTGCACTCCACTATTGCATTCTGTAAAGATTATGTTGGGTAGTTGCTGCTGGATCCAATCCGCATAGTGTGATACTGAAGTGTAGACACCGGGGATGTTGGGTAGGCCACAGCCAAACCCCCAGCTCACGATGCCAGCCAAGAGCCAGTTTTCACTTCCATCACATTTGCAAACCAAAGGCCCTCCAGAATCACCCTGGAGAGAGAAAGATGTGTGTTACCACATGTCTGTAGGAAGACTTCTTCATTCAGATTTGGGAGATGGAAGAACAAATATCCTTATAGCAAAGCATTTATTCCTTTAGCTAAACATCTCAGCTTTAGCCTGAGAATCTTCAGTGTTGCTTGTTCACCGAACACTCTTATCACAATTTTTGGCTTAATGCAATATGTTGATTGATAACCCAATAAAATGGGGCTGGATTGGCACCACACACTAAGCCCCACAACCACCCTCCCCTCAAAAGCTAACCACACTTAACATTGTTAACAGATAACAGGTCCTATTAAGCATAAGCACATCCATGCAGGGTAATAATACTGACTTCCTTTGCTATGTCATAAGACCAATCAATGGTATCAGTGTGGCATTTTGGGGATGGGTGAGACTACTATTGATATCCACCACTTTACTACTGACTACTTGATTATTGTCATTTTTAATCACAACCTTTTGCATAGAAACGGATTAAATACAATCTGAACAACCAGAAGGGTGACCCAAGATTTTAATTAAAAAAACGTAAATCAAGTTTGATGCATTCCCTCCACTGTTGGAGAAAGAAAAATACTGCTTCTAAGATGTGGATCATTTCAAAACCATGTGTACTTTAAATTCTATGTTTACTATTGTCTTCTAAATGAACATACACTACAGTTTCCTTAGCTGGATGACAGCTAGGGCTGTGCAGCAATTTGAATTCAGTCTCCAAAAAGTGGCTTTGGAGCATTCAGGAACATGAATTTAGCCCCTATCTGCAACACTTTAAAGCAGTCACATTTTCTCTTAGGATCACATGGCTGTCCTAGGTGCTCCAAAACTTCTATTGAAGATGAAATCCAAAGTGCTACAAAGCCCTGTTGGCAGCCTTATGAATTTACTATTATTCCTTAAGTCCTTTTCAGAACTTGTGAAAGGAACCAGTTATGGGACAGCCTTCTAACTGTGTTGGGTTTTAAATCTGGCTAGAGATGATAGGAATTCAAGTCCAAAACATTTGGAAGCAGCAAATGGAGCTTCATATCTGGATTAAACCCAGCTGGATTAAAGAATGAATTGCTCAGTGTTATATTCACATGTTTCAGTTCAACACATCTGTACAATAATGCATTTTAAAGGTTTAGTCTCCTCTAGGGACATGGCTGAGCAATTTTGAACTTAGATAGGGCTGTGGGATATGTTAGCTTGCCCTCAAAAGACCTTTATGATCACATTACTGGAGAGGGCAGGTCAGAAAAATGTTTGGCCTGATTTTTAATACTTTTTTCAAGCTCTGTGTTGAGGTTTCATTAAAAGCCTCTCAGAAGCTTAGCTCATCTATTTTCTGCCTTATTCAGCAAAAAACAGCAAATCCCAATGAAGCAAGCCATCAAATTTCAGGAGCACAATCTTGAGATGCTCTGAAGGCTACAGGCCTCTGTGCTGATGCTTGCCCATATCCATAGGAGATCGAAGAGCACTGAACAGATACTTCCTCCAGTGAAGGAAGCTCTTGTGAATATATGTAGAACTCCACGTCAACAGTGGCAGGATCGGTGCACCAAACATAACTCGATTACTGAATTAACACTCTTTGCCCAATACATGGAGCCATAAACTAACATTAAGGGCTAATATCATACAGCTCGTCAGGCCCCTATTTCCCCATCCACCCAAGATTAAGACCTGTCAAGTTTAATATACTGCACAAATTCAGCCACTACATTTTTAACTGCCTCGTGTCATGCAAACCTAGCTATAGGTCTGTGAAAAGCAGATTTTTGAACAGCCTACCTGACAGGAATCTTTGCCCTCTTCCAAGTTACCCGCACAGATCATGCCAGGCCTGACAGGGGAATGGGGCAACTCTTCAATGTTGATCTCATTGTAGAGAAAGTTGCAGTAGTCTTGGTTGATAAGTGACACCTCTGCTTCTTGAAGGTTTTGGGGAGGCTCCAGGTCAACTGCAAAGAAAGGAAAGGTTGCATTATAAAATGCAGAGAACAAGTAGCTGAGTTTGTATTTGCTGATCAGTAACTTTAGGGCTGAAACTGCTACATCCCTCAACATCACGTTGAAGAACAAATTTAGTTTTTCTTGTTGAGATTCACCAGAAGCCAGAGTCGCTAATCAGATTGACGAACTGATGTTTAGGGAGCTAAATATTAGCATTTTTGGTTTTTTTTCTCCAAATTAAGCTGCTCTTCTCTCCCAATATATGTTCACAGGGATGGGGAGAGGAGGACAGGAAAGAAACATACCCGTGCCACGTAGACACATATTAGTTTTGTGTTGAAAGTAAATTGTGATGGGACGATTAAGTGCTTTGGCACTCTAAATCAAATTCACATGTCCCATCCACTCCATTGGTTATTTGGAACCTGGCATACCTAATCACCTCCCCCCCCCCAAAAAACCCCCAGTTACATACAGTATTATGTTAATTAAGTTACTGACCTCTTGCTCTCTCTCTTTCACAGGCATGCAGTGTCCCTTTTTGAATCAAGGCCACCATGCATGGGACAAGGAAAATTAAACCTTCTTCCCAGCTACTGTATTTCAGAATTCTACACCCACCCCCCACTCCAGCAGACATATTATGGTTGGTTGCACAGTCAGTCAGATGTTTAGACTGGATTTAGCATTTTTGTCCACCTATCGAGTCCTTCCCAAGGTGGTAAAAGTGTCATTGCAGGATGAAAGCTGTTCCAAGTAAAGCTGCCTTTTGGAGTTGACTGATGGTGATTTTGTCAATGCCGATGGTCTTCAACTAGTGTTCCAGATGTTTTGGGATTGCACCCAAGGCACCTATTACTATTGGTACTATCTTTGCTTTCTTTTGCCATAGTCGTTCTACTTCT